GCGAGTCCAAGTGCTTCTTCAACATACCTACTCGCTTGATAATTGCCAATGATTTAGCCAATGGATCGGTATGGGAATAATGGTAGAGATGCCTTAAGTCTCCGTAATCTGTTGCAAAGGCTAACAAAGCGAGAGTTGCCTTGGCTTCCCATGGATAATTTGTCAATATTTTGAAGATTTTTAGTGTAATCTCGTGTGCACTTTCAATCCCGGGAGGCTTGCACCAAAGCTGAAAATGATATTAAAATCAAAGTTGTAAGAAACAAAAAAAGTATCTCCTTTTAGGCATGTTTTTGAAATTTTGGTTAGAGATTTCTAAAGGGTTATTAAAAGATTGAAAAATGACCTTGTTAGAGATACGATGAAGAATACACAAAGGAAGTTTGATCACAACATTAGATGTTAATGAACCTTCACTCCCCTGCATGAGTATGATAATAATTGTTCGTTATTTCATTATAAAAATAAAGAAAGTATCAAACTTTACGTAGAATAATAAAGGTTTTTACGCGATGATGAACGGTATCAGTAATTCGACTTGCAGTGGTAATGATGCTCTCAATAGCCGAGACGTAATTCGGAATGGGAATGTCAATTTTAATTGAGTCATCATCCAATTGTTTGAGGTTAATGCTGCCGTAGACAAAGCAGTCGTTGTAATGTCTCATTCTCATCTGCTCCTTAAAGGTAGATGACTGCATAGGATCCACCAATCCAGGTGCAGTGGAGGGTGTCTTGAATGCAGTCGCCATGGTTTGGATGAAGAGAGAAGTGAAAACAGAAGGAAAGAAGGTGGAATAGGGTTTGGTTGTGTTGTGAATTGGAATTGTTAGGCTCTATTTGTACACAAAAATGTTCTAGAAAAGCCTGAAAAGGTTGAAGTGTCTGAAACAAACCATTGTTCTTCTTGTGAGAAGAAAAGAATTTGTGATCCATGTTGGATTTGAGCTTTAGTGAAACACTTGATTTGAGTAGCCCATATCTCACTTTCTTTCTTGTGTTTACCCTTTTGTTTTTACATTTTATTTTTATCAAATCATTCAAAAACTTCTATCTATTGGTTTAATTTTAGTTATGATTTCTGTTCCAAAACGTACAAATTCCGTACCAATAGCTATGCTTTTCTCTCACTTATATACTCACGATTTTCTAACATCCGAGTTTGGTTGCATTTCAAACAATTCTCCCTTTGAACAATGTAAGGGTCCAAAACCACTTCTAGTAGATATTGTCCGCTTTGGCCCGTTACATATCGCCCTCAGCCTCACGGTTTTCAAACATGTCTATTAGGGAGAGGTTTCCACACCCTTATAAGGAATGTTTCGTTCCCCTCTCCAACCGATGTGGGATCTCACAATCCACCCCCTTTGGTGCCAGTGTCCTCACTCGTACATCACTCAGTGAGAAATACAAAGTTTACTCTTCTTGTCTTTCCCCCTTTAAAAACAACATTCTTTCTCACTAAGTCAATGGTGCATCTATGATGCCAAAATCTTTTATAGAATTTAGCTAACCCATGAAAACTCCTAACTTCACTATTGGCAAATTCCTAATTTTCTCTATTTTTATTCATTATTACCAACTATGGATCAAAGGAAAGTGAATTTTTTCCATACAAATATTAAAATTAGCATGAAATTTCTCTTTTCTGTGTAATCAAAACTGACTTAGCATGCTTTACTTCGAACAAAGTGTTCAAATAAATTAAATATCATCGAAATACAAAACAACATGTTTTCCTAAATATTCTCTCAAAACATGATTCATTAAAAGCATAAATGTACTAGGAGCAATAATTAACCCGAAAGTCATACAATCCAAACTTAATTTTGAAAGTTGTTTTCCTAAATATTTAGATTTCAAAACAATCTTTATAAATAGACATGGATGAGGCAATTCATCAAGCATATTGTCTAGCCTAGGAATAGGATGTCAATACTTTACCGTGATTTTATTGATGACTCTATTATCCACGCACATGCACCAAGTTTCATCTTTCTTTGGCGCCAATTAAACTGATACAGAACATGGACTCAAACTTTCTCGTAAATAGCCCTTCCTCATGAGCTCTTCTACTTGTCTTTTAATTTCAAATACAAAGATGGTATTTTGTGAAAATATTGTCCTTTCCCACCTCTCCAACTCTAGTCAAACAACTCTCTTTTTTTTTTTTTTCAATTTCATCTCTTTTTCATTCTTCTTTTCACTTTTTTTTGTCTTTGATTTTTTTCTAATATTTCACTCGGTTTTGGTTTTTTTTTTCAATTCTTTTTTCCTCAAATTCTTTCTTTTGCTAGTTGATATTCTCCGCTTTAGTCTGTTATGTATCGTCGTCATCTTATAAAGAATGTTTCGTTCCCCTCTCCAACCGATGTGGGATCTCACAGACAACCATTCAACTCTCTTGTTTCACAACTCCTCTTCTTCATAATAAATCACTTATCCAATAAACTAACATTGACACCCGATGACTAAGTTAGGAGCGTAGTTTTGATAGCACTTGTTAAGAACAATGAACCTCCACATATCTTCATGATGGTATGATATTATCTACTTTTAAGCTAAATTCTCATGATTTTACTTTTCGATAGCACTTTTTCTTATCGTGTCATTGTGAGACTTTGATCACAAGGGGTCGACCTCCATCCTATAATCACTTTGACCTGTAAAATTTAAGGGTACTAATCTCTTTTCCGAATCATGTATATGATATTTTTCTTGAAACATAAGAAATCTTTAATGTGAATATCTTAAACAAAGTCAAGTCTTTATATCATTCATTATCCCAATGACCAAAAACTAAGTATCGAGTAAACTAAGATTTAAAAAATAGAAAAAAGAGAAAGTTATAAAACTTTGATTGTATAAAGTTGAGAGCTAACAAAGATGATTAATAGATATTGGAAACACATGGTTTGTTTTGCAGAAGGAGACGAGACATTAGTCTTCACAGTGAAGAATTTGAATACAACTTTGTGTAAAGAAGAAGCACCAAAAATCTTTAATATCCTTACAATAAACGAATCCTACCCACAAGGTTAAGAATATATGCCTCTACCTTACCCTTCCACCTCTTTCACAAATTCTCAATGGTGGTTCTTAGCTTGAACTTCCTTTCGGTATCATTGTCGTTCTTGATAAGACGAAATCGAAATTGTACATCTTCACCATATTTTTTTTAGTTCAGAAAGGTAAAAATACAAACATTTAAGGTTTGTTTATTATTAGAAATATGATGTTATAACCACACACGAGTTGGGTTTAATTGATTATTTTGACTATATATTTGAATAGTAATGCAAGTGACACCCACACATTCATTTGATAGTACACATTTCCCTCTCCAACTGATGTGGGATCCACCCCTTAGGGGCCAGGGTCTTTGCTGGCACATCGTCCTGTGTCTAGTTCTGATACCATTTGTAACAGCTCAAACTCAAACTCATCATTAGCAGATATTGTTCTCTTTAGGCTTTACCTTCTGAGTTTTACCTTCTGAGCTTTCCCTTCAAGCATCCCCTCAAGATTTTAAAATGCGTCTGGTAGGTAAGGTTTCCACACCTTTATAAAGAATACTTTGTTCTCCTCTCCAACCAATGTAGGATCTCATAATCAACTTCTTTTCTAAAATATGGGTTAATCATTGATTAGTCTTTTTAAGAAAATTGTCAATATTGTTTTGCAGTGTGATATCGTATCGACTAAACTATACTTGAATTCAATGATGGGTGATAAAATCTAACAAATGAATGGTAAAACCAAGCTTTTTAAAGATGCCCTGATATCATAATAGGAAGTCATGTTCTAGCTAGCAAGATTTAGACCTAACTCTACTTCTGTGTTAACTTTAACCAAAGCTCGGTTAATTATGTCTTTATTATGCTTTTAACAAGGTAAATTATTTCTGATTTCAATAGAAGTAAGAGTGATCTTCATCTAATTCAGGGATTGATCCAACCCTAAATTAGGTTAATCAATTGAAATAATATCTTAAAAATCGATTTAAATTCATGTTTTTCAATGAGTATCTGGAGATCCTACGTCAATTAGAGAGAAAACGAATCATTTCTTAGATGGGTGTGTAAAAATCTTTTTAAATGCGTTTTAAAACTGTGAAGCTAACGACAATACGTAGCAAGCCAAAGTAAACAGTAGTTACAAATGGTATCAAAATCAGTTATCAAACATTGCAATGCCCCGGTTGGAATAGAGCTAGACTCTCTCCATAGTAAATTCATTTTAAAACCGTTGAAGCTAGCTTGGGTTGTTACGGGTAAGAATTATCATACTTGAGATCAATATATGCACGTTAACTTCTTTCTATTTTTTTTTAACCGTCATAAGAGTTAAAGAGTACAAAAAAATGGAATTTTTTTATATCTTAACAGTGATTCAAAAATAATCATGTGTTGGGGTGTTTGTAGAATCCTCCTTCGATTGAACAAGTTGAAAAGAAGAGGCAAAAGGAATGTTGCGAAGAGGGTTTAAGATTTGAGATTTTTCCATAATTGGTATCAAAATCTTAATTAAATAAATTGAAAAGCAAAAGAGGAAAAGACAGAAAAAAAAAGACGAAGGAAGCAATTATTTGAGTGCTCCATGCATGTTTGCTAAAGACAAAAACAAGTTCATTTCTAATCTTATGGACTCCCAAAGTGAGAGAATCATGAGATCCCACGTGAGGTGACCGAAGTAATTCTTAGAAGAGTATGAAAATATCTTTCTAGTAGACGCATTTTAAAACTGTTAGGCTAAAAGATACCAACGGGCCAAAACAGACAATTTACTAGCAGTGGATTTAGGCTGTTTTACACGTGTTTAGACTAAATAAATGATTTACTCCCTTTAACTTGATTGTTTTTTTCTAAGAAATTTTCATTATATATGATATGATATTTATACAATTATCAATAGAGTCAGAAGCTTCAAATAACATGAACTTTGAACAATTATCAATATAGTCGGCTCTGACTTTCACTCTGAACTCATCTCCAATGGACTTTCTTTTTCTTTTTCTTTTTCTTTTCCTTATGGGCTTGTAAAGGATCGGTTTGAATACAGGAAGATCAAGATCCGACCAAACCTTTGAGGCGAGCATAGTAAATAATTGCAACGAACATTATCGCACAAGCTACTCCAGAAACAATGACAACCTGCACATAATGAAGACGTGATGATGGTTATGAGCTCTTGTTCAGGCTCCTGCATTTGAAGTTAGAAATCATAGTCGAGTTCTTCAGCCATACCCATTTAAACATGTATTCGTGATTTTCATTCCAAGTGTATGGAATGTTCATGCCGAATATTGCACCCACCAAAGAATATATAGACAAACAAACAGTTCCAGAGCTTAAAAAGAGCTCCAACTGCAGATCAAGACACCCAGCAAAGTTGAAATTTTAATAAATAAGAATCTGGGCAGCCAAGAAGATCTCATTAATTAATATATGGAAGGATATAGGACCTGAATGAGTTGATTTCGGTGATTGTCAAGCTGCAAAACCAATGATAGATTCAAGTCAGAAACAAAGAAGAAGAAGAAGAAAGAGATGATCAGTAGTAGATCGGAACCTTTCACTTCTTGTTACCTGGATATTGATATAATCTTCTGTGTCATCAATGTATTCTCGCAGCTGCAAATCATTCAAAACATAAGCAAATATGCCCTTAGATTAACGGCCATCGTACTTTGTCGGGTTTAGTCCAAATATCGTAATATTTCAGTGGACAATTAAGCCAGGAAGATGTTGCTTCATATATTTTATGAGTAAAAACCGTTAAATAAATAAACTATGAAAAGATTTTGAAAAGGCCAAATCAAAAAAGTTTATTGGACACATCTGGGAGTTAGATTCATTTGGTAGATACATGTAGCACCATAATGATAGTACATGTACATGTATTATGAAGATTTGTTATTTAATATTTGGTACATGTATGGCCATGGAGAATATTCCGAAAGGCTTCCTTAAGTAGAGATTTCAAATCAACTTAAAGAAGAGAATACGTCTCTTCCTCTAGAAAATAAAAGAGACAGATTTGAGTGTTGAGAGTACTCAACCCTTTTTCCATAAAAATTCTACATTACTCCAACAAAATGGCATCAGAGCCAAAAATGGCGGAGTTCTAGGAAGATGTCGGAGGGTGGTATTCCACCGACATGTCTGGTGAAGTTGAACTACAACAACTAAAGCATTCAAATGTGAGCTTTGTTTGGAGCGCAAAATGAAAGGGACGTGGTTGAGGTCAGTTACATCGAACCGGAGGTAATCGAAGACATGACAGTAAATGACATCAAGAAGCAAAAACAAGCATAGATAAAGGATAAAACCGAGTTGTACTTATTATTCAAAGTGGTTAATGAGTCAAATTTTGAGAAGATAGCAAGCGCAACAATGGCAAAAGAGGCATGGGACATGTTGGCAAAAGTCTTCAAAAGGGCCAATCGAATAAAGCTATTATTTAAACTATTCCTCTTAATATATACTCTTAATTTATGAACATCATTAGTTAGGATCTCTTAGACAAGCCGACTTCTTACCTATTTCGGGGAAATCTAGGTTTAGAGGAGCAGGAAGACTTTTCAATGGAAGGAGCGTTCAGTGGCAGAAGGTGAGACCACTCACATTTCAATGCCTCGAATGTCTACTTCTTAATGTTGGAGTTGTTCTTTTTGTTTCATTGTTCTGCTCGTTTAGTTACACGCACAAGCAAAGAGAGGTTTGAGCCCGTGAGAAGAGATCGATCATGTGTCTGTAGGTCCCCAAGGAATATTGTTCTTAACATGGGACGCGGAGAATATAGTATGGGAGGTATATTTTTTGCCAAATTTCTGTACTGTAGTTCTCTTATGAACTTGGGAGAGAAAGGGAAGCTTCCAAATCTTCCCTACTTAGCTGCTAGTTGATAAATAAAATTGTTGGTCAAGGTTCAACAAGATCCAACTTTTTGTTTTAGCATCCAATTACTCTAAATTAATAAGAAACCGTTCCCGGCAACGTAAATATAGCGAAGTAATATCGAACTCATAATATCTCAGCTTGAACATAAATTAGATAAGCAGGAAACAGGTACAACTTACTGTAGTTAATTTGTTCAATGTACCATCAATCTGCATAAAGTAAGCCTGCAAAATGCAATCTCAGTTAAAGACCTTCATGAAGATTGACCAACCAGAAACTATATGTATTATTACCTCCAGTAACATTTCAAGCTCCTCGATGTCATCCTCATCCCCACGTACAGTTGCCATACTTGCTCGGCTCGCTCTTGATATCTTTGAACCAATGGTAGGAGAGGCAGGAAACCAAATGGCAGGACCAGAACCACTTACAGGAGAAGACGAATTCATCTTTCTTGACAAGTAAAGGTCTGCCATATCATCGTCGTCATTCAGTAATTGTTCGAGCTCATCTCTCACCTGCATTGAAAGGCAAGTCAAAACTATGGTTATGCAGATAACAGCTGCTGATCATTTAGTAAGAAATTCAGAATTTAGGAACATACAGAGAGATGAGAGTGATTACAATGGGCAAAAGTTTCTAAATTGTGTTGATATGTGAAACGTTACAAACGTTACACGTACCTTTTGAACCCTCGCAGTCAGCCTGGTCATTGCACTCTTCAATTTACGAACTCTGTCCAAGTTTCGGCTACTAATCTACAAACTCGAAGGAAAAACAATAATAAATCATGCTAGTATCCCAAGTTGGAATCCATAACTTAACAGAATTCTCTCCGAGGATTGTTAGAAAGTTTATGCATTACATACGAGGTGAGACAATAAGTACTCACCTTGGCAGTAAGCTCATCCAAGGCAGGATAAGCAGCAGTCTCGAGCTCAGTTGTTCGTGCAGCAAGATAACTGCATATAGCTTCCAAAGCTACCTCAAGGGCACGAAATTCAAATGGCGAGTCTGGAATGCATTCTCTCAAGATCATTAATATATTGATGAAGTAAAAACAAATCACAAGGACAAGTTAAGATCACATTGCAGTGACTGAGGAAGAAAGCTTACCATCTTCTTCAGCTTCACCGTCGTGTTGCCGACCCTGATACGCTTTCCCATCTCCTTGAACATGAAGCTGGACCGCATTAGAAGGAGGCAGCCGCCTCTGAAGCTCCTCAACCACAGGGATGACATGTTCATCGGTCGGATCTCTAAGAAAAACCTATCCACAACATGGATTAACAAATTCATTTTAAGCTTAAAGGGAGTTGTCTGATACTAATTTCGTTTCAACTTTCCAACAACCACACAAATTTACAAACAGATTAAAGAACAAAGGTATAGATACAGACCTCTTCAGCAGTAATGATCGCCTTTATATGCTGCAATACCCATAAGCAAACAAAAATTACAAGAAAGAACAAGAACAATTCGTCAAAAAAACTGAAAAACCAAACAATTCACCTCGAGATTAAGAACAATGGCCCTCTCACGCCCCAAAATCGTGGAGGGATAAGAAAGCAAAGGGTCAAGAATCCGAAGATCGCGCGCATGAATTTGAACCCGATGCATAATTTGATACTTGTCGGCATCGAGGACGGTGCCTTGGCCCGTACAATCCAGCAGAATCCAATTCCGAGAAGATTGCTTCTTCTTCTTCACAGTGAGCGTCGTCTGTGGATCCACCGGCACTACATGCCCGTCCCGAGCCATTACTAATCATCCCCAAATCAATCGCATTCCCAGAAAAGAAAGAAAAAAAGAAAGAAATCTAAACAGCCCTCAAGAACCCATCACCGGAAATGAAGAACAACGATGGAATTAAGGAATGGAGAAGAAATTAGGAGGTGGGGTAATGGGGAAAGGAATGGGAAAAGGAAGGGTTTGGGAGTTTCTTCTCCACCGAGTTGCAGAGAGAAGAAACCGAAGAGGAGGGCGATGAGGTTGGATTCTCGAGAGGGCATATCAAGTTGAGTTTGGGTTTTACATAGTTCCTGAAGATGGGGGCAATAACATGGAGAATGAGGCCACAGCATCGAGGCGGAAGAGGAAGAGACACCCAGAATTTTGATCTCTGCAGATCTACGCCATGTTTTTTTACCTTTAATCTCCTCCTTAATTAGGGTTCCAATCACAACAATAATGGCTACAAAAATATGTTTTATTTTCTTTACAAAATTACAACCTTCCTAACTAAAAATGAAAAATTGGGACTTTCCAAGTCATTTCATGTCTCAATTTCGAGGACGTGGGTAAGTTTGATTGGGTGAGCACAGAGAATGAGATTCCACGTCCTTTTCACATCAATACCACTAACAATATTTATTGCATGTTTATACCTTCAAATAGTCAACCCTATTTTAAAATTCACCCATTTTCTAACATTTATTTCAATCCACTAATAAATTACCCTCAAAATTAGGGGTCTCCAAAAAAAAAAAAAAAAAAAAAAAAAAAAAAAAAAAAAAAAAAAAAAAAAAATCCAAA